AATTAAGATTTTGGATAAAAAATATAAATCAGGGTCCTGCAGCCTAGCAGACTCCCAATGCAAAATATTTTCCTTATCTAATCTCTAAAATTGCCAAATCCAATTAATTATCGTTTCAATACGTTTCTCTGCAATCGTCTTTTTTAAGTATTTTATTCTGCCTTTCTTTAAATTAACTGCACAAATCTTAGCATTATCAGTATCAGTGTAATTATTTAAGGATTTATACCATACCGTTTATATTTAGTAAATTGGAAATAATAAAAAATCTCATCTAAATTATTAATATTTGTATTTACAATTATACAACTTAAAAATATGATTTCAAATATATTAAGATTCACTAAATCCGATAAAACCGGTGTAAAAATTTCAAATTTTTTTTATAAATCAGGTTCGGGTTTAGAAAATTTTTTCAAAATCCCAGGACCTTTGCTCCGGGTTCGGTTAGAACTCCTGACTATACACGTGGAATACAATTCGGCAAAATAAAATCTTTAGAAGTTTAAAAAAAAAGCGTTAAATAATTTAAATTTAAAGATTTTTTCATAATGTTTATAGTCTTATATAAAAGGTATAATATAACAAAATTATATATAAGCACCTGAACGAAAAAACATCGGACAGACACGGAGACAAAAATATCCCAAAATCTAAACAAAATAATTAAAATGGATAGAAAAGGGAGCTCTATCCCTAATTTTTCTTTTTAAAAATATCCAGATAAAAATTTTGACGAATTAATCACGAGGCCTAATTCAAAATTGACATATTATTTATACATATTATATTTTGTAAGGAAGGAATTCAAAAAAAAAGAAAAATTATTGTTTGTTTAATATAATACTAAATATTTTAATCATTATAATTTATGTCAAAAAAAATATGACGCAAAACGAAATTTCGAATTTTAGTCATCTTATTTGTTTCAATGGGATACATTGGACGAGACAAAATGTTTAAAAAATTATATTAAAATAATTTTTTTTTATGTCATTTACTTATTCAATTGATAATCTTGTAATTTGTATACATTTATTTTTTCAAAAACAAAAAAATTTTTTTGAGATAATGTCACCAATATTATAATATATAAAAAAATTTACATCTTAATTTTGAGGATTTTAATTATTTAAGTAATTAATGATGCAAATGTTCCTTATTGAAAGAATATTAGGCATAATATTTAGAACTTGCTAAAGATACTTGAAAAAATATCATCTCGAAGGTATACTAATGATATTGGTATTCGGACAAAAAGCCAGCAATTATTTTAAAAAAATAAATAATAAATTCGGATATTTTTGTGTGGTGAATATTTTTTTAGCATTTTTTTTCTTGCATATAGTGCTAGACTTGAGATTTATAAAAATCAATGGCTTAAACCCTTAACTACAGTGCTGCAATATATGTTAATATTATATAAACTGGTTTTGATAATATAATACAGTGTTGTGATGATTTAATGAAACATATTGACGATTTAATTAAAACACATGCATATATAATTATAATCTTTACAAATGTTCAACAAAAGAAATAATAAAAGAAATTTCAATAATGCTTTGTCATTAATTTTAATTATTTTTGCAAATTATCATTTTATATGAATGGGTTTGAATTTAATCGTCAATATGTTTCATTAAATCATCACAACACTGTATTATACTTTTTAAAACTAAATTAATAATATATATATATTATAATCGAACTTATCGTATATATAAGACACACTTCAAAAAAAACTGTATTTTTATAAACAACTTAAAGAAAGATACATAGAGTCATTTATACAATTATAATTAGTGATCTACATCGGGCCTAATTTTTCAAACCCGGCCTGAAATTTTTTTTAAAAAAATTTTGCCGGCCCGGCCCGAATGCGAATTTTTTTTAAAATGCTTTGCCGGCCCGGCCCGAAATTTATTTTAATAAAATTTACAGACCCGGCCAGGCCCGAATTTATTTAAATAAAGAAATTAATTTTTATAATTACTTAAAATAAAAGACATGTTATATAAGCGTTTAGTTTCAATAAATTAAATCAAAATTTTTTATTTTATATAAAAAATTCAATATAAAATTGATAAATTGATGTATTTAATAAAATTTCTAAGGTCCGACCCGGCCCTAATTTTTTTAAATAGAATCCCGAGCTTGGCTTGAGGCCCGTTCGGGCCTGGCCGGGTACGGGCCGGGGCTAACTTTGCAGATATCTAATTATAATACCATAATCATAAATAAGTTCAAATGACCGTATTATGTATTTCTGTTTATACTTTATGGTCAAGTTGAGCCAGACTATAATATTTATAGGTATTCTAATGTACCTTAGTGTATTACTCTTATTTCATTGTAAATTAGTATAACGGGTAAAAAGGATATTAAAAGGTCCACCTATTTTATATAGTATATATCTTTATTTTTACATAAGCTGATTTAAAAAATAATTAATTCAACCTAATTTTTTTAATAGAATTTTTTTTTTATATTGTTTTTAAACTTTACAATTATTATAATGTAGTTTATACGTTATAGTAAGTGTAATACGATTTCTATTCTTTTTTTTCTCTTTGTTATATTTTATAGTAATAGAAATAGATACTTAAGGTTATTATTAGATAAAGCTAAAGTAATTAGGACATAATATTAATATTGTTTCATTTGACATGAACAAGATGGACACACAGAAATTTAAGGGTTAATAAAACGACAAAGACTAGGTTATTTGTCCTATCTATATATACAACTACAAGGGGGCATCGTGTATGTGTATAATAACAATAAATGTATTTCATAGCTTAAAAATATGTATAAGTTTATGACAATAATCCAATTAAAAATTAATTTTAAAAAAATAAACCAAAAAAAAGTTTTTCTTTTCAGTGTTTTTTTTTGATGATATTGTTAAATGTTATGGTTCGAAACAAAAAATCATCTTTTTTTAAAAAAAAATATGTCCCCATCCGTATAAAAAAAATGAAATGTCATAAATAGAAAGAGATGCAGTCAGGTAACCTGTCTTTCTTTCATTTTTTTTTTCATATCATCTTAGCCTTTTATATATAAATTTTTTTTTTTAAAGTGCAATAGATAAAGATTTATATTTTTTTAAATATTTTATTATAGAGTTTTGGTATAACAAAATTTATTGCGAAATAATAATATATAATATAAATGGGGGGAAAAAGAATAAACTTTTTTTTCGTTCTTCTTGTAAAATAGTAATTATAATAAAACAAACAATTCCCTCCCAGGTATACCCGATGTGACAACAAAAAATAATAGATTTTTTTTTGTTTTTTTGTCATATTACTTTTTCTATAATTGTATGCCCAAATAAAAAAAGGAAAATTTATTACCCCAAATAATAATTATTTTGTTTTCAAGAGGTAATGCAATGCTAGTATATATTATTTTTACAAATATACATAACATACATTTTTCTTCACCAAGAAACATAAATTATCAGAAAATATTATATAAAATATATTTCTGATTTTTTTAAAAAAAAGAAGTATACAGTAGTTGTATTATTTGTAAAGTAATATTTTATATTGGTGACTGATATCCCAAAATTATGCTTTTTTTTGTCAATAATACCTAGGAAAAAGAATTTAGTCAGAGTTTTAAGTTTAAATGATTAGGATTGCCCGGCGAAAAAATATATTCACAAAAATATCCCGGTCACAAATAACCTAATTTATTTATCTTATAAAACAATCTTTCTTAAGTTTTTTTTTAAAGTTAAAATTGGGGTTCTTTTGGCCCGTGTCAGTTTATCTTGGTTTTATTTTATCCGGTTATCGCTCGAGTAAGTGTGCCTATTAGAAAGGTTAGATTAGAATTTTTGACATTTAGATCACTTATAGTACACAGACTTTTTTTAATTTTTACAAAATTTAAATTGCCAAAATTGCAAAATTAGGTCTTCAAAATTAATAAAGAAAATAAATGTTCGAGATTCTAATACACCCGGAATTCTAGCATATACTCCTACTATACTATACACTTAAAAAATAAAATACTTTTTTAAAAAACCATCTTACGCATATAATTAAAAGTATATTTTAAATCTTATATTTAGAATTCAGCAAAAACAAAATCGACGCTAACTTACAACCAGCGAAAACGGCTAAAAAAAATTAAAATTTAATATTTGCATATATAAAATAATATGAATTGTATTTTGATTATCTTTAAAATAAATTCAAAATCCGCTAGGACAGAAAAAAAAATTTTAAATAGCTATTTGAATCGATAAAGTTTAATTTGAAAAGATCTAAGTAAATATTAAAAATATTAGATATTCAGGTTTGATGATTAGTTACGATAAGCTATGTAGCATATATAATCGAACACACAGAAGAGAAAAAAAAAATAATAATATAAAAATTAATTATATTTATTAACTTTGTCCCTCTCTCTTTACTTCGATTGGCGTCAAATTACTAGATATTTTTGTTTAAAACACAAAAATATATCAAGATATTTGTGTGATAAGGTGTAATTCTTTGGCGAGCGAAAAAAATTAACTATGTAAATAGAAATATACCTTGATTTATTAAAAATAATATTAATACAAGACAAAGATCTTCTTATTATTATTATATAATGATTAAAATGGATAATATGAATGTTTAAAAGGGAAAAAATTTAAAATATTTTAAAAGAATATATATTTATAAAAAAAATTTTGATATACATATCAATTTTTTTTAAATATAATAATTAACAAAAATAATTTTTATTGTTTTAAAAAAATATATAAAAAAACACAATACAAAGATTATAATGTCAGAATTAAAGTCATACTTTCATTTTTCATTATTTTATTTTATTTTGAATAATAAACTTATTTGTCGCGAGCATGTTCATCAAAATCGTCTTCAAATTCAGCCCAATAAATAATTTCATTATATAAAGATACTATTTTTTCATAAGAAAATTAAATTATTAATCTTCAAAATAAAATATAAAGACTTCCAAAAAAATTCAAAATGCTTACTAACTATAGCGAACCTCAAAAGTTGCCGGATTTGATGGATAATTCACAAAAAAAAATTTGTCCTTCTTTCACGCTAAACGGAATGTCCCTTATCGCCTTGATAATAATCATCGCTATAATCGTCGTAACGCTAAGCCCCATAATGTTATGTAAATCTAACCTTCTGCGGTGCTACAGAGCTGCAAATGCCACAAAAACGGAGAGCTCATTTAACACAACAGCGCAATTAGCCGCGTTAAAAAGTGAAGGATTAATCACATACCAAAGAATGCATATTACAAACATAACTCGCCAAATCTGGGAGGATGAACTATTAATCCCAAGGAAATATACCAATATTACCGATCTTAAAAGAGATATCGAATATCACCGTATTAGTAATACCTCACACTATAAAGAATACGATTTGAATGCCAGTTCGTTGATTGACGCGACTAATGAAAAAAGGCTCAAGAAATCTATTGAGGGAGATTTAATGAGAATGGATTTGAAGCCGCTTAACTCGATACAACGCATGGAATCCTTGATAAGATACCATGTTCCCAGTCCTATGAAGCTGAACGAAGTTATAGAAAGAAGTGCCGTCATAATTAAGGCTAAAGTGGTCAAAGTTAAGGGTAAATTATCCAAGCAATCTCTCCTAGAACCCTTGTCTCATAGCGTAATCAACGCGAATGATGATATTGATAACAGAATTAGGTACGATATCGATTATTACAAAGAGGAGGAGGATATATATTTAGATATCATAATTCGGTTGTTAGAGGTTTACAAAGGTTATTTGGACATATCGAGGATAGTTTCTATACCTGAAAATACGAATCAGGATAAAATTTACACCACCTTAAGAGTGAAAACGAGAAGCAAAAGAATTGAAAAATTGATTAATTCGGATGATGCAGTTCTCAGTCATCAACCGATAGTTAGCTATAGATGCGATTCCGTTTCATTAAAGGAAGACCAAACATACCTATTTTTTCTAAATATCGAGGGTCGGATGTTAATCGCGGAATGCGTGGATAGGTTAGGATCCTACCTTTTCTTTTCTAGAGAATTGGAAAATCTGATCATGGAAAAATTAAGTAATATTATAATATTTATTCTTGTTTAAAATAACAATATCAAATACCAATATAATAATGTTATTTAAAATCCTCAATTAGTTTATAAATAAAGCATGTTTGTTCATTATATTTTAAAAATGAATTGGGTAGACATAGATCATTGGTCGGATTGGGGTCCATGTGGAAGTAAATGCGGTGGAGGTACTCAGGACAGAAAAAGAAAATGTCATTCTACTCCTAAAGAATGTCACAAGGAGATTGAACTTAGGAAATGCAATCTTTTTAAATGTGAAGGTTTAAAAAAATATGCTAACTATTTTATTTAAAATATTTATTTCCCTAGATACAACTAATTTATAATTATATTTTTTGCATTAATATTAATTATTAAATATTAAGAAAAAATTGATTTCGAGGATGAAATGAGTGTAAAAAATATCAATTTATAATTAAAAGATACTAATTCTCATCATTCAAGGTTAAAAACTACATTTTTAAAATTTGGGTAAATAAAAAAAATATAATTAAATTTAAAGTGCTAAAATTAAAAGTAATACCGTGAAATTTCTTTTTTTAAATTTAATGTTGTCAAAATTTAATGCAAGCCCTTTGCCACTCACTTATGGCGGCAATGAGATAATACATTATGTTATAATTAAACCGATTTTTTTTTCAAATGCAAGGTATGAAGGACATGCTGGAGGGAGTAATGCTAAAACATTTTCCTAGAGGCGTCAAAAAATTAAAATTTAGACCAACCTCATTTCAGATATCCAGATATGCTACATTGATGACCCCGACAACTAACATATTTCGGGAGGGTACATCTGCGAAATCGATGAATCTTTTCATGTCCTTTAAAGCCCACCCCGGGAACGATGGATACTTATTCACTATATCATCTCTGAAAGGTATATTATCTTATTATCGTAATTGAGAAGAGAAAAAAAACTATCCATTTTAGAATATATAAAAATTAATTAACAATCTAATGGACTACCTCCTGCCTTTTTTTAAAAAAATTTATAATGGCTATCTTAATAGAATGCAATTTTTAGACTAAAAAAATAAGAGAATAATATACATATTTAAGCGTATTCGAAAGGTCTCATTGCCCTATATCAAAATCAGATACCCGCAAGTTAGCCCCAAAACGGGTGAAAAAATTGTACGATTTTTAAGGACTCGAATGTCGGGCCTAAAAAAATTGAAAATAAAACCAGGTCGGACCGATTCAAAAAATAAATTAAAATCAGTTAAAAAAAGATGCTAGGAAATCATGTAAATAGAACATTCAAAATATTCTTTTACCGCTCATATTCTAAATTTCTCTTTGGCCAAAATTATTCTAAATAATGGAAATTTAAAAAAAAAATCAGGACCGGGCAATAAAATGATAAAAAGTAACGAGCCTAACCAAAAACTTTGGGCAGGGCTTTCAAAATATTATTTTTTTGTCAAATCGCTAGCCTATGGATTTTATTATAATATAGCTGAAAAAAAGTGATTGATATTTTTTACAATGTACTATAGGAATAGTGTTGTGATACGGCTCGATTTGAGCCGACTTTTAAAAACGGCTTACATAATATTTTATCCATAACAATATTAAGCAAGCCTTAAGATTGGCACAGGTCTCAATACATTAAATTAAGTGCTTTAAAAAAAATTATACCCGCCTAAAAAAAAGAATAGCCTTAATTAGAAAAATATTTTATTATTTACGTAAAATTTTAGCGAAAATTCAATTCGGTATCAAATTGGGTAAAGAGACTATCGTCTTCTATAAAAGCGATCATAGGGATATTAAATTTAACAGCATGGTAAGAACCAAAAAATCGGGCTCCTTAATATTTAATAAAAATCGAAATTCAACCCTGAAGGCTAATACGAGGAAAAGGTATAAAATATTCCCATTTTTCAACTTAACAAACACTTCTTCCGCTAAACCACCCTTAGTCATTTCTAATACTACTCCGGAATACAATGTATATCGACTCTTCAACTATAAACACTCATCATTACCATACGATGTTGTAAATGCGTCCAAAATACGCGATTCCAAACTATTTACTACAAAGAACACAGAAAATTTGTCAAAATCAGTTCCCAGGTTTAGGTTTGTTCGAAGTTTATATGATCGACTCAAAAGATCACTCACAGAAATAAATCAACAAATATCGTCTAGTCGCGAACAATTACAAAAAGATCAAGAATCATCTCCGTTCTTGTCTAACGAGGTAATATATATCAGACCGGACCCCGTTTGGTTGCCGCCTTTAAACGATGGACATTGGCACTCACTAGCGGTATACTTAAATAAGACTCATACCAGGATACACGTGGATTGCAGAGAATATGGGACTTATAAGATCAACGAGGGTGAAGGTAAACTTTATTTATCCTTTATATAAAAAAATGCAAAAGATTTGTTTGACTAAATTTTTTATAAAAAAATCCTTTAACCAGTTTTTCTAAATTTTAAAAAAATTTATAAACGCCGCTAGATTGACCCGGCTACTAAAGAATATATATATATACTAGAACCTTGCCTTGGGTCTATTTTTCCAGGTTAGGCCTTATACGAAGACAACTTTTTTTAAAATTGCAGATCCGAGCTTACTAGAAAAGATTTAAAGGTAGGATCTAATAGAACTCCTATCTTAGAAAAATCCAATCCGATTCGGAATAAATCAAAGAAAATTATTGGATGAGCCCCCCCCCCACAATCCTCACCTTTAAAATTAGCAGTGATGCATTGCGTAGGACATGTTTGTTTCCCTATGTATTTTTCATAAAAAATGATAAAATCACTTTGTTAATTTTCATCATATATAAAAAAAAATAGATTGTATTTGAATGCCAGGTATGGTTGATAAGTTAGAGACATTGATTGAGAAGTAGCACAACGCTGGAGGAAAATAATATTGGGGGGGTAGGGGGGGGGTTGTTTGAAAAGAATAAGTTTTAAAATAGAAGTACTGGGATAACTAAATAAGGCTGAATCTGTTGACTGGCTTGAACATGTCCTCGAGAGGCTAAAATATATGTTATTATTATATACCTAAAATAATATAATCGTTAAGTTATTTTATTAAATCCTACAAATTTAAAGTTTTCTATCAGATTAGTACTTTTCTTAAAATATAAGTACAAATTATGAATAAAGTATCGATACTAGGAAAAGACCAGGGCAGACGCGTAAATTTAAAAAAATCATATATTTATTTAGCCCACCATGATCATGAATTTAAATATGATTAACAAGTCGACAATAGAAAAAAAATTATCAAATCTTTTTTATTATATTAATCACAAGATGATGCCGCCATTTTTGACCTTAAAGGTGTCACCACGCTAGGATCCAATTTCGAAAACTTCCCTTCACTCAAGGAAAGATTCGAAGGTTTTTTTGAACACGTATTTCTATCAACCTCCAACAATAAAGATATTTCCGATGAACAGTGCCACCCTCCGCATTATAAAGTAGTATAATATCTATAACCATATTTAACACACTATACCTAGTCTCCCTCTCTTTCAAATAAAAAACTTATATCAAAATTAGTCCATAAATTAAAATCAACACTTTGAGTTTATCACTTTAATTAAATAGTTTCTAAAATATTAAAATCAGGAGTAAATAGATTTTCCATTTTTGATTGTAAGAATAATTAATAATAATAATAATAGGTTAAAATTATTTTTTGTAATTATAAACATTTTAAATTGATGATCAAATACGAAGGCCAAATATCAAACGATAACAAATAACCACATAGACGAGAAGGAGAAGCCGAAACCGACTCTTAATTTAACTCACCTTGGAGGTATTAGTAAGACAAATAAATATGGGGGCAGCTCTAAAACTATGACAGTTCCAGAACCCTTACAGGCAACAAAATCGGTGATGTCGGCAACAGACTTTGCCCATTCCACTATAAAGACTACTAATAAAAATGAACAAGAAAGATGGATCATTTCAAATTCGGATGACGAAGATTACCCATACGGATCGGGTTTTAAAGGTTTGGAAGGCTCTGGTCATTTAGATGACCATCCGGTGTTCTCAAAAACCGATTTGCTAACAACATCACCAACAAGTGTTAATAATTATTTTGACTGATAAAATATATTTTTTATATTGTCGTATTCAAAGAATAAAATTAATGATTTTTTAAAAAAAAAACTTTTACAGCAAAATGCGATAATTTTGACAAAAAATAAACGTTTATTCTAAACATTAATTTTAAAATATTAACTTTATATTATTGCATAATGACATCTTAAAATGCAGGTAACAAAAATTGTGAAGAACCTTGTCTGAACCACGGGATATGTTCTCAGAGAGGCGAATGTCATTGTTCCTGGGGTTACCAAGGAAAAAATTGTTCTGAATACAAGTGCGGTATAAAGGGTTGTCTGAACGGGGGCAAATGTATCAAGCCGAATGTGTGCTCATGTGATAAAGATTATTTTGGGAAACTTTGCGAATACTCCCATTGTTCGAAATCTTGCATCGATAATGGCGGAACGTAATATTTTTCTTCTCACAATTAAAACTTTACATAGAGTTCATAGTGCAATATAATAAAGGACTATAAATTTAAAATAGGAAAACGCCATATATTCAATAAACATTTTTGTAAATTATAAAATCCCTGAAATCCCAAATCAAAATGCCAGCACAAAATAACCGGGAAAATTCCAAGAGAGTTATATTGTAGTTAAAGTTTTGTATGTTGTTCTCATATCTTTTTTCTTCTTTGGAATATAGAAATAGAAAAATAAATATTTTTATCTAAAGTATGTTTATGTGTTTAATATTAATAATTTAATATTTATCCTATAATCATGTAAATCTCAATTTATTATATAATATAATAATATGGCAAAATATAAGATGTACAGAAATGGGAATATGTCTCTGCCCGCCAGGATATCTACCACCTGATTGTTCCCCTCTTTGTATGTCGGGATGCCACAATGGAGGCCAATGCGTTAGTTTCAACAAATGCGTTTGCAAAGATGAATATTATGGACAATCATGCAAAAAACGTTATTTTTGATATTATTATATTATACTTAACAGAGACCTCCAGGCCTGGCTCCAATATACGGGCTGGGCCGTTTTTTAGTTTTTTTTTAAAGATACAGGATCGAGCCCAATACACGAGCCGGACATAAAAAAAAATTTTTTGAAAAACACCCAGGCCGGGTTTTAACCCAAATATTTTCAATCGACATGATTATCTATTAAAATTCGAGCTGGGCCTTAATATTTAAAACCCGGGCCGAGCCTAAAAAAATCCGGACCAGGCCGTGCAAATGGTACCTCAGCAGATCTCAGATATAGAGCTGTCAACTACAGAAATAGGTAATTTTATTGAATTTAATCTGCAAATAAACGCATTCCTTTCCTTTAAAAATAACACAAATGACGTTACTTAATTATTCTTTTTAAAGTATAGAAACAATTAATATGAAAAAAGATCGCAAGTCCTTTTATTTTATCAGTCGATTTATATTTATTAAGCCAATTCCCAAAATTCTAAGAAAAAATTGTACAAATTCTTTTTTAAATGTTGCTTTAATTAATATTTTATAATTTTTAATAGACCAATTGTTTTTCAAAGTTTTTTTATCCAAACCAATTTCAGTCCTGCTTTTTCTGTCCTGAACATTTTGTTCGAAAGATGCTAAGAATGGCATGAGTATTTCATATTTTATATACAAGTTTTTAATATTTAGAAATCTTTTACTTATCTTTAAGCCTAAACATATTGAACAATAACAAATAAAAATGTTTGAAATATAATGATTAAATAATATAGTAACGTGTTACTTTAATTCACAGTTACTTAAATTTTTTTTAAAGGAAAAAGTGATACTATACAGCACTAATTAAATATAGATAAGAGGGAACTTGTATTGAATCTTTAGTTATATTATAAATTATTGCTAAGGGGGGGGGGGGGGATTTAACATGTTTACGTATTTTGAAGTATATTAAATAAAATAATTTATATTTCATTAGGAAAATGTTCGGAGGAATCTTGTCTAAATGATGGAATATGCAATAACGCAACAAATATGGGCCAGCCCCTATGCAATTGCAAATTCGGTTTTTACGGGAAACGTTGCGAAAAAAAGTATAAACATTTATTGAAACAAGATTTCTAAGAAAAATGATTACCTCTATACAAATTAAAAATGAAATGATGCAAGATTAGAAATAACCCTAACCGGCTGATTTACTTTTCGTGAGCAATAAAATAATTAAGATACGCTGTCTAATGCAAGATTTAGGATAGTTGCGTCTAATGACATTTATAATACTCACCTAGACTGAACAACTCATTTATTTTTTTTTAAAAAATGTATTTTTGAAGCGTCGTTGAATATAAATCAGCTGATGACCAGCCATTTTAATTTTCTTATATAAATTTTTTAATCCAAATATTTTACGTGGGAAGCCAAAATGGCGTGTCAAGAAAGAAAGGAAAATTTTCTTTTCTTTAACGAACAAATCACCATATGTATTTATTATAGGTTATTGGTTGATTCTTAACAATACAACATTGCTTAAGAAAAAGTAGATTTTGAAATTCAAGTTAATTTAAATAGAAAATAAAAAAAACTGATAAAAAAAATTTAAAGCAAGCAGAAGTGATAGGTATTATTTTCATATTTAGGAAAAAAATATAAAACATGGAATAAATATGAACCAAGGTGTTCGAAATAATTTCTGAGACAATTGAGTTATTTATTAAGGTTTTTTTTCGGAGTCGTCAATTCTGATCGATTCAAGTCCGTCAAATTTGTACCTTTTTTATTTATCATAGATTAAAAATTGCAGGAAAATAAAAAGATAGTATAATAAATCTTTACGAGCTTTTCTACCTTTCACCTTGTAATTTTATTAAAAAGTTATAGTTGATAAAAATGCGTATACATCTTATTCAAAAAAATTTTAATTTTTTTATATTTTAGACATATTTGCACTATGATCCCTTTCCGAGAAAAATATCAAAAGGTTTATATTTTACACGTCGAAGATGAAGCTCTCGTTCCCTGTAAGGAATGGGGAATGCGTGGATGTTACCAACACCCAAAGTATAATCAGGAACAAAAATTTATGAAAGATAACCAATTCCACCTTTGCATAGCTATTATTATATAGTGTTGTTTATTAGCCGGGTAGAGCAAAAACGTCTCTACTTATTTGGAGTAATTACTTGTGAAAAACTGATTATTCTACTGTAGAAGTAGATTTAATATTGAATCCACTAAAACGGCTTTTTAACAACACCATATCAAAGCAAATTCATGTCGTTTTCTTTCATAAAAATTTATTACGGGCGGGGCAGGACTACAAAATATATTTTACGAGCCAACCTGGTAGAAAATATATATGGGGCAGGGTATATGCAACTAAATTTTATATGCCTATGTTTTGCATGATAAAATTTAGCCCAAATATATTTGGCCTTAATGGCTTCTATATTTGGATGCTTTATTGTGCGACGACCTCTAAATTTAATATATACAATAAAACTTTAAATATCATTTCTTCAAAACCATCATTTTTGATATGTATAAATTAAATGATATTTTGAAATTTTTATAATGCTTAAAGAAAGGAATAAAATAACTACTAACTAAAAGAAACAGTTTTAAATTGATACGGGTAAAAGTTTAAAGTGTTACGAGTTCGAGATGATATACTTTACAAGATAGAATGCTATATAGAAATATTTAGATATAATTAAATTTCCTTTTTTGGGAACCTAATTATGAAAATTGTATTTTTAATGTTAGTGTTTTCAAATATAATTGAAATTTTAAATTAAATTTAAAAAAATGATTTAAAAAAATAAAATAAATATATGAATTATGTGTCCAATATAATATTTTTTGTAAAAAAAATATTAAAAGCGTGAAACAAATCTCAAAACAAAAAACCTATTTCCGGGTAAAATATCGGTGCGTACCGCTCACAAATCAATTCGCTAAAAAGCGCAAAGAAAATCAAATGAACCAAAAAAAAATTGTAAATATCACTTAAAACATCCTGTTTAAAAAATAAATCAATTCCTCGTTTTTTTGTTTGAAACAAAATGGAAACTAGAGCGATTGAAGATTTCACGGGTGCAGATTAAAAAAAAACTGGCGACCTTTTAACTAAATGTCATCTTTTATGAAAAATATTCTTTCTTTCTTCCTTTCTTTAAAAAATAACTTATTAATTTATTAAAATAAAGTTATATTTTTGTTTATTGTATTTTTAAGTAAACAGTATTAAATTTGCATGGATTATATATCGCGTAAATTATATTATTTTATAAAATTATATACAACTTATTTTAAATTTAAAATTCGGTGCTATATTTTCTACTTTTTTTAAAAAAATACCTCGTTATTATATAATATATATATATATATATGTGAAATTTAATTAATCAATAAAAAAAAATGTTGACAGTTTTTTGAAAATTTTGAGAAGGGAAACCGGGGCATGTTGGTCCGCCACTTTTCGCCTTAAATTTTAATAAATTTAATTCTATTAGATTAATATGGATACTAAATCCTCAATGCAACCTGTTCGAAATTGTTTAATGTATAATTTATAGCAACTAAATTTTTTTTTGGAAAATTTAATTTGAAAATTACTTTGCACTCCCCAACACATATTCATTTCATACGAAAATGGTATAAATAAAAAATTTATAAAAATTTTTTTACAAATGTAACGATACTTTAGGAGTAAAAAAAAATTATATTTAATATAACCTAAAAAATATTGAAGCTAAAAAATTAAAAATATGTATAGTAGAATGGAAAAAATAAGTTAAAATGTCATGCTTTCTAATTTTATTAATACATTCAGATTCCTATTAATTCAGGTAGTGTTGTTAAACGGCTCGTTTTGAGCCGATTTTTAAATACGGCTAACTCAATATTTCATCTAGAATATTAATAAGCAAGCCTGAAGATTTTGTTTGTATAAGGAACAAAGGTTTGGACATCTATTAGCGAAATCTTAAGACTTGGGCAATATTTTTCTAGCTAAAATATTGAGAGCCGTTTAACAACACTAAAGGTTTAATAACTTTGTAAGATTATAAGATAGGGCCTTACAACTTTTTTATAATTTATTTTTATTGAGATTTTATATGCTTTTCTTCCAGTATAATGTGTTATTATTACAACTATAAATCATTTTTTGAGAGGATATTTTTGTAAATTAAAATAAAATCTTGTATTCCAGCACGTTTAGAACTTATGAATTACAGCCACTTTAGACATCAAACCTTTTAGTCATTTATAATTTTTATAAAAAAACTATGGAAAGCCTAATATAAATTTTTTTAGGTTCAATGTTCATGACAAAATTATCTTAGAATTCTAAGGTTAGGTATTCCAAATAAATGGTATACATTTCTGCTAAAATGAGATTTATGAAAAAACTCTCTCAAAAATGATTAAAGCTGAAAAAATAACACACTGGGAAGAAATTTTCCGTTAACATATACTTTTAAAGATTTTGTTCACATCTTCCTCTTAAATCAAAATGCCATAAATTTTTATCTCTTAGCCAATGGGGTGTTTGATAAAATTAACGATTACTATTATTATTTCTTTTTTTACATTTTATGATATATTTTGAAAAAAACGTATATTTTATTGCAGCATTTATGCTTTAATCTATTAGAGACCTTCAGAGGTACCATTTGCATGGCTCGACCCTGTCTGGATGTTTTTTTTTAAAAAATTATCGGCCCGGATTTTATATTTTCAGGCCCGACCCTCAGGTCATCCCCGGATTTTTTTAAAATATATTTTATTTTATTTATAACCAATAATGACTATTTAAAATATGCCGCCCGACCCGTGTATTTAAAAAAAAATTCCTAGACCCGGTCCGGGTATATTTACCTGCAGGTCTCTGTTTTAAATAAGTTTTTTATAAAATTAAGTTTTTTAAAAAAAAATCCCTCTCCTGAAATAAAATTCTGACAATGGTTTGTACCATATCAAATAATTAGAATTTTGAACATGTTGCGATTTTCCAGTAGGTAACAAACCTTTTTTTTTATTACCAAAAATTGTAAATAATATACATGATAAAACTATCAAGAAAAATAAAGTCCACAAAACAATCAGTTCCGAATTGGTACGATTGTCATTTATTATCTCAGACTATATTAGCGATTCATTCCTTAAATTCCTTTAAAAGTCTCCACATATAGGAGTCAGCTCTAGCGCCATTTTGCACTTTGAACCTCGATTAAATGCATTAATGTGCATTCACATAAAGTCTTAAAATACCCCTAAAGCTAACTCCTATGTATAGACACTTTTAATCATCGAATCGCTAATCTAGTAGTATATATCAAAGATTTGCATCGGGCCTAATTTTTCAAACTCAGATGACCCTAAATTTTTTAAAAAGTTTGGTCGGCCCTTCCCAAACCCGAAAATTTGTCAGCCCGGCCCGAATTTATTTATAGAAATTAATTTTTTTAAATTATAATTTAAATTTTTTAAAAATTATTATTATGTCATATCTATTAAAATTAAATATTTTGATTTTACATAAAAAATTTAAAATGAAATTGATAAATTTAGATCCCAAATTTTAAAAAAAAAATAGCCCTGACCCAGCCCAAATTGATGTTTTTTTTGAAACCTTAAAATATTTTTGCCATAAACAATCAAGATCCTTTTTTTATAAATATTTGTATCTTTTTCCATTTTTTTACACTTATACTTAAGTACAAAATATTTTTTAAATAATCTAACCCGGGTTCGAGCTAACAATATAAAAAAATTAGAAAAATATAATAGAAAATTATGTTTTTTTTTAAAATTGAAAGTTATAACGAGGTCGGACATGAAAGCATAAAATTTTAAAAATTATTATCAGTAAAAATTTAATAAGAAAATTTTCAAAAAAAAAATTAGGAACGCTTCACGATTTTGCGTGTCATCCTTGCGCAGGGGCCATGCTAATCTTCTCTGTATCGTTCCAATTTTATTATATGTACCGCCGAAGCAGTACACTACTACGTTGGAATTAGTTAGGTATTTATAGGTATAAAATAATAGTTAATGTATATATATAGTGCCTTTCTAAGCTACTTATTTATTTTCTAAAATTTTAATATATATTATAAGGAAATTTATTTTTCCTGTATAATTATAGAGCTTAACTTTATAATAAAATGATAATTAAATTAATTAATATTCTAAAATTTAGTTTCTCGACATCTTTATATTTCATAAATTTGTAGCGCCATCTATTGAGGAGATATATATTTATATTATTATAACTAATTATATAATTTTTCTAAAAATAAAAAATTAAATATTTATATTTTGAAATATAATTGTGCAGATTAATTTATTTTGATTATAATTATTTGCGTGGCAGTACAATTAAAGCTTAATTTCAAATTATCAATAATAATACATCATTCTTAATCCATAAACAAATTATATCTATCAATACTTATAATTTAAAAGCTGAATCATCAATAAATTTATCACAAAATTTGATACAATGATCTATTGAATTCTTGTTGAACAATATGGTCCAATCTTATCCAATAAGTATTACACTACAAAACTCATCTAATTCATAATGAAAGCTTAATACCTTTCTTTGGGAAAACCTTATAGCTTGTGACGCTTTCTGTACCCTCTAACATGAATTCAATATTTTTAATTTGGATTAAGATCATGATAAGGATATCAATAAAAAAAACAATTATTGGAGCAACTTTGTGCAGCTATAACAACTGATCTATCCATCCATCCATAACAGTCTTGCTAAAAGCATCCCACCTTACACAGTTTTTCTCAGTCTTGATATTTTATCAATTAAATATTATAATCACATGTCAATTAATATTTAAAGTTTCATCTGAAGATTTTAATAGTATAATAAAATTTATGTCTTCAAGATCTTTGGCTTAACCTAAAGTTCCATCCTGTTTAATCAATTTCTCAAATATAACAATCTTCAGTCAGCTATCTTACCTTTATTTAGGAACTGTGCTTTATATGTCTGAAAAGGAAATATGATAGCATCAGACTATTGAGTCTATAAGAGTTTAAATGCTCTTCGAAATAAAAAATCTTCAAAGTTTGATTTCTGAATATTTTTTTGAGAATGAAATACCTAAAATTCTATTGTAAAAAATCTTTTATGATTTATGCACAAAATATTTTAGTAATGAAATCATATATTAAAAAAATTTGCTTTTTTAAAAAAATAACCAATTTCATTATCTTTATATTTGCTTAAATTTTTTAGAAAAAAAAATCTTTAAACTCTAGTTTCATTATTTTATAGAATAGACTCTTGCCTTAATGACACATTGATTTATTAAAGTAATCTGTAACAAGTCTGGTGTACCAGGATATATAGGTTGTTTTACTTTATTAACATTAATTTTTTTAAATTTATTAAACAAATATTATGACAAATTTGCATTAATTCATGATTTAATAAGACATTCAAATTTTCTTTTATAAATAAAATATCAAACTGAAAAAATTTTATTTTGATATTTTACACTCATCTTACATGATTAAAATAAAAAATAGTATTTATAAATCTTGGTATATTAAGCTTTTTAGACCATGTATCTATCTAGATAAATATAAAAGTATCATAACAACTCTGGTGTATCGGATATATAGGTTGTAATTTACTTTATTATTAGCATTAATTTTTTTTAAAGTTATTAAATGAATATTATGAAGATAAATTGCATGAAGGTTAATTTATATAATGAAATATTATATTTTTAATAGTATAAGATTTTAATAAAAACCTAATTAATGATTAAACATATATTCAACTAAGATATGCATGTAATATATTTGAAAAATTTCAATCTGGGTTATAAATTGTGGTCCATACTATATTACTCATAAACTGTTCTAATGTAGAAAAATCTTTTAGTTCTAAATTATATCTTAATTCCTATTAAATAAAAATATATTAAATAATAAAATCAACAATTTTAAAATTACCATTTTTTCCATTAGATAAAAAAAATACGTAAAAAAAAAATTTTATTTAAAAAATTTATTAAATAATAAAACAATATTTTTTCCATTAGAAAAAAAAATAAGCGTGTTAAATAAAAAAATAAAATAACTTTATATGACACCATTTATTGCTGTTATATAAAGGCGTTCCCTACATTTAGGGTTTCCAGATGCTGCTTAGTGGATAAGTGGAAAAATTTTTAATGTATTTTAAATATTGCATTAAAATAATTTTAATACACCCATTTATTTTTATA